GCCAAGCAGTTCATAGTGAAACAAGGAGTAATTGAGGACGAAATTCAGAGAGAAGATTCAACTTAGTACGAGAGGTACCTTTGCCTTCCACCCGACTACCATTGCATACAGTGGGCCCTCAGTCATCTAGAAGACGACCGGTTCCCATTCCCCAGCTAGAGTTTAGTGCGGACCTTCAACAGCCTACTCCCTGAGAAGCCGTAGGCTGCGCTCACTCCGTGCTAAATCTTACAGATCGAAAGGATTAGTTAACCTCAAACAACCTCAACAACCCAAAATCCTACAGGTCGGCATGACAGTGACATACGCCCTTGCCCAAAACTACATGTATTATCAAACTCTAAAAAGTTCGTTTCAAAATGAGTCACTATAAAGTTGAAAGTTGAGCAAGCTCTCAAGTAAACCACAACAAACGGCGAGAAAGTATGTCAACAAAACTTGCTTCCAAATCGCTATCTACACTAGCACTCATTGTCCTTGCTCTTCTGGGCCTATCCGCTGGTAATGAATTCTCTGAGATGCCATACAAACCTGACATTCTCGACACCGACTGGCACTGGGAGTCTCCTGACGAAACTGACCACCTTCAAAGCAGAGGTGGTGATGCTGTTGAAGATGAAGANACTGGCAATGAATTCTCTGAGATGCCATACAAACCTGACATTCTCGACACCGACTGGCACTGGGAGTCTCCTGACGACACTGACCACCTTCAAAGCAGAGGTGGTGATGCTGTTGAAGATGAAGAGCCATTCTTCTCCTTTGGAATGATTATCTGTAAGTGTTTTCGTTTTTACGTGTGCACTCCATTATCTGACAGTCCCGTGACTTTTTATTTTAGATATCCTCCTCGTTCTGTGCACCATCATTGTCGGCATCATTGTGGGCAAACGCATCGCTCGACTGCCCATCAAAAACGGCCCTAACGCTGACTCGGGCAAAGGAAACCGCTTCCCTCTTAGAAAGCTGAATAACCTATCAACTAGCCATTCTTCAGCCAGCAGCACAGACTCTAGACTCTAGATCAAGACTCTCAGCAAGTGGTCGGCGATTGAATTGGTGATCATTTGCTCTCACCCTCATTCAGACACTTCAGTGTTGAGTGTTCATTATTATAATCAAACTTCTATTTTACAGCGTTTTGTATTGGTTTCTTTATTGTACAGTATTATCAGGTTTATCTTATCCAATCGGCGTCAGCTTGAGGAAGATGTTTTTCACCGGGTGAATGATGATGCTGGAGTAGACGATCAACTTGAGTAGACCTGTCTCCGAGTCAAGGTGTTTGGCGGTATCCTCTTCGGCGAGCTCCACTCGATAGCGGCGAAGAATGGACGACAGAACGGCTCTCGCCTCGGTGACCGCCAAAAGCGAACCAGGACAACTTCTCGGACCGGTGCCGAATGAGAAGAATGCATTGCTCACCTCTTTAGCCGGAGCACCGGGAATGGGCAGTCCCTCTCGGCGTGGATTGAATCGATTCGGCTCTGGCCAGTGCTGCTCATCGTGGTGAATTGTCCAGACGGGCACTTGAACTGTCATCTCTTNAGAATGCATTGCTCACCTCTTTAGCCGGAGCACCGGGAATGGGCAGTCCCTCTCGGCGTGGATTGAATCGATTCGGTTCTGGCCAGTACTGCTCATCGTGGTGAATTGTCCAGACGGGCACTTGAACTGTCATCTCTTTGGTCACCTTGACGCCTGATTTTGTCAGCACTACGCCGTCCTCTTCCAGATTGTCGTCCAGCTCTCGCGTGACAAAGGTCACCACCGGCGGGTAAAGGCGAAGTGACTCGAACCAGACGCGATCCAGCAGCTCACAACGGTTATCATCAAAGGTACAGTGGTTCTCTAGCCCGTCGGCATCGTACTCCTGTGGAGTCGCCAGAACCTCAGCACGAAGCTCCTCTTGAATGTCCTGGTGCTTTGCAAGCAGGTAAAGGGTGTAGGTGAGACCAGTTGCAGTCGTGTCATAACCGGCGACGAGTATCGTAATGGCGTTACCTGAAAAGTTAGATTAGCATTGTTTCAAACTCACTTCCAGTACAAAAACTTACCCATCACTTCATTTTCATTGAGATTACCCAGCGCCTTTTGCTCGAGCATAAAGTCGAGAATGTTTTCCTTCTTTTCAATGTTAAGTTCCACCTTTCCGCTGCTCTTTTTCTGCTTTTCATAGTAGTCCTCAATGCAGCGGTTGAGGTGCTGAGCAATGCTGAGCGTGTACTTTCCAAAGGCCTCATAAGCAAGGTACACCAGCTTCTTCATGAAGGGCAGGTACAGGGCCCAGGTGAGCACAAAGTTCTCCGTGTCCTCCATGATGGCCGCAGTGATGCGGTGCATGTGACTGCGCTCTCCCTCGTACACGTCAGTGTCGTCCATGCTGAAGGCCGTCCGACTGATGATGTCCAGCGTCACCGACTTCATGTAGTAGGAGAGGTCGATGGGCTTGCCGGCCGACCTGGTCTGCTCCGCCTCTCTTAGCAGTCGACTGATGCAGGCGTTGATCACCGTACGGGCACTGCCGCGGGTGATCTTGTGAGCGGTGAAGGGCGGCGTCAGAAGCTTACGAGAGTGCCTCCACCGGTCGCCTGAAAAAATTAAAACCCATCATTTTTATTGTCTAATCACAATCTCTAGTTTCTGTATCAGTTACCTCGAGCGTCAATGAGCGAGCTGCGAAAGGGCTCCACGGAGACGACCGCCTTCTGGCGATTGGGCACCGTTTTGCCTCGCTTTACGAGCAACTCCTGCACCTCGTCCACGTCGGAGAGCACCAGGTAGGGCATGTCGCCGAGGAAGTAGCCATACTGAGGACCGTACTGCTTTGCCCACCGGTCCAGGGCGGCGTGGTAGCCGCGGATGTACTCGCGCGAGTTGCCCGTCCAAAAGTTGGGCTGCGGACCGGGGATGGCGGCTGAGCGGAAGACGGTCAGTGTCTTCCGCTTCCGGACCAGCCAGTTGACCAGGCCGTGAGCGAGGTAGAGGGCGACGAGGAAGAGCGCCGCTTCGGTGATGATGCCTGCCATGGAGCTTTTTGTTGTGGTGATTTTGAGAATGGATGTGTGTGTCAGTGCTGGTGTCGTGATGAGGAATGCAAATGAGAAAATACGCGCACGCCGAGCTGCACTTTTTGCAGTTTTAACTGCTAAAATCACTCTTTTAATTTTATTAATGTGTTGTTGCGGTAAGCCTTTATCTCTACGAGCACATTAGTTATCGGGCTTTGCACGAGACGAACCACCTGCACTTTGACTGGCACAACAACAATCAACACAATAATCGACAGCAGCCACTTTGACGACTTTGCACTGAAAAAGGAGTTGACAATGGTGGCAATGGTGGTAGTTGGGTCGGTGACGGTGGTGGTATCTTCTTTGTTTAGATTAGAAAAAACTAAAAAACTGGTTGTCTACTGTACATTTGTCTACTGCTGCACAGACACTGAGCGCCTAATCAACTACCGAGGGGGCAAGTTGAGCCCAAAACATTCTGACGACGGCACGAGCTCTTCGTCTCTTTCTCTACACTACCATCTCCGTGGAAAGAAGAGAAGGAGCAGACAGTTATTGACAAGAGAAAGTGTGTATATAGTAATCGTTTTTTAACGATAATGTCAGTGCTGAAATGCCGGTTGTGTTTGTTTTCTTGTTGTTGTTGATTTTGATGAAGTGCACCAAGTGACATTTTCNGGGAAAGAAGAGAAGGAGCAGACAGTTATTGACAAGAGAAAGTGTGTATATAGTAATCGCTTTTTAACGATAATGTCAGTGCTGAATTGCCGGTTGTGTGTGTTTTCTTGTTGTTGTTGATTTTGATGAAGTGCACCAAGTGACATTTTCCTGCAATTTTAAAAATGTCATCCGTATGAAATAAACACTTTGAAGCAACATTTATTTTTGTATGATGATGGCTTATTTTACTGANGCAATTTTAAAAATGTCATCCGTATGAAATAAACACTTTGAAGCAACATTTATTTTTGTATGATGATGGCTTATTTTACTGATTGCTTTAACCGATTTAGCCCTTTCCTGTTGAAAAGGCTAAACCGGCGTAAACTTTAGGCTTATGTTTTTCTCCGGTCGAATGAAGATCGTCTGACAGGTCAGTCGGAGCAGACCGGTGGCCTCGTCGATGGCCTCTTCATCATCTACGATACTGGCCAGCTCGACGCGGTACGAGGAGACAATAGCAGAGAGGACGGCCCTCGCTTCCGAGTCGGCCAGCTTGGCGCCAATACAAGACCTAGAGCCAGCTCCGAAGGGGAGGAAGGCGTAGTTTGTTTGTCCGCTGCCGGGAATGGGCAGATCAGCTCGAAGTGGGTTGAAAGTGAGTGGGTCTTTCCAGTACTTCTCATCGTGGTGCAGTGTCCAAATGGGCACCTGCACGGTCATCTCCTTGGTCACCTTGACGCCTGATTTAGTCAGCACAACGCCATCACCTTCAAAGTTGTCGTCCAGCTCTCGCGTGAGAAAGGTCACCACCGGCGGGTAGAGACGCAGCGACTCGTACCAAACTCGGTCCAGCAGTTCACAGCGATTGGCGTCAAAGTGGCAGTAGTTGGCGTTATTGGCATTGGTCTGCTTGCTTTTAGCGGCGACTTTGCGAACCTCTGCTCGCAGCTTCTCTTGAATCTCCGGATGCTTCGCCAGCAGGTAAAGGGTAAAGGTGAGCGCATTTGAGGCGGTCTCATAGCCGCCAATCAGCGTGACAATGGCATTGCCCGTCAGCTCCAGTTCACTGAGGTTGCCCTGCTCCTGCTGCTCGAGCATGTACTCCAGAATGTTCACCTTCCTCTGCGAAAGCGCCGCCTCCTTCTCCTCACCATCCGCTTCTCCGAATCGCTGTCTAATGCGCATCTGATAGTACTCAATGACGCAGCGGTTGACGTGCTCCACAATGTGGTCAATCAGCTGACCTCCGCCGAAGAGGCTGTACGCGAGGACGGCCAGTCGCTGGAGCGGAGGAAAGTAGGCGGTCAGCTGGAGGGCAAAGTTGGGCGCCTGTCGGGCCATAAACTGGGCGGTGATGGTGCGCAGTCGACTGTTCTCCTCGTACAGGTCGGCCATCTCCTCGGCGGTGGCATTGAAGGCGTGTCGGCTGATCACCTCCAGGGTGACACATTGCATCAGACTGCTGACGTCGATGGGCGGTGGTGCACCGGTTGCGGAAGATTTGGCGCGTCGTTTTGTCTCCAGAGCCAGTATCATTCGTCCCACTGCCTCGTTGATTGTGTCCGCCGCCTTGCTCA